TTTTATGAGGATTTAAGAGCCTGTTTAGCTGGGACAATGAGTCTTCTTAATGAAGAATGGTTAAAAGTAATTGTATGCAGTTCAACTACATCCTAAAAAGAAATGTTAGTGTCCCTCTACTCCATCACTAGTTTAGTCAATTTAGAGCTTATGGTATTCACATTAAGTAAATGTATTGTATCTACATTATTGCTGTATCTAAATATCGACGTGACTATCCCCTGTTTTCTTTAAATATTTAAAAAAAAAAAAATCTCCGACATATCATCCGTTAGCGTTTTAGACTATGTTTCAATTAGCAAAATATCAATACATCTTTTCTAATAATAACTAAGATGGAAAAATATTTACATTATAATATCTCCCTACCACGCTGATTTCAAGGCCCATATAAACTATCTCGAAGACAGTTTTTTTCCAGAACTGAGAGTAGCGGTATATTTTGCCTCATTACACCACTTATCAAACTATCAAGAAACATGTTACAACATACATACACAAATGATTATAATATCCATTAAAAGATAATACTAAACTATGGTAATATATGATTTTTGATTACACTTACCTCGTCATCAACAATTTAATGGTTATCAATATAAATGAAATGTTCAATTAACGTTTGTTAAATGAAGGTAGTTCCAGACAGCATGGATTTGAATTTAAATATTTCGGCAGGTAAACTATGTACAATGTCCCTGAGTTCTCAGATCATCCAATCTTGTCATAATGTAATAAGATAAGTTGTTGTATAATCACTACCGCCATTAACATAAAATTAAATATTATTATAAAAAATACTTCATTTTTTTATTTACTTCTTACTTTAATAATTTATCATAATACATATAATTGGTTTATAAATTTAGAACAGAATAAAAGCCACGAAAATCATACTGAGATTTTTTCCTATCCTATTTGCCATCAGTGTAATAAAGATAATTGCTAACTGGACTAAATGTGAAACATACGCCCTGTATAATGCATATATACATGTACTATATAATGATTTAAATGCTAACTACAAGACCGATACCTGGAGTGACGTCACACAATTGGCCATTGAAAAGGAAACTCGTATGACAGCAATCTGATCAATGATGCATAACATAAATGGAGATAAAATGCATTAAAGCTTATCATATGTTGTAGAAATAGGCGTTTCCTACGAATTGGAAATAAAATCACACCAAATTAGCATAATTTGCCAAATTAAAAGGGCGACATTAATTTGGTACAAGCACGAGCATGAATGTTTTTTGAATAATCGAATAAATGTAAACACTTATTGATACTGAAATTAATTGATGATAATAAAAATATTGATAATGATATTCTTTATTTAACAGACAACAAAGGCTAATATCGACATATTTAAGACGTGCTGTTTACCATGTATGCAATATTGGTTCAATATTATCTAAATTCAATCCATTTGGTGACATATTTTGACGGATACAAAAATGTATGCATTCCATATTTCTGTAATAGCCTTACCATGCTACTATTATCATATAATCAGTATTACACGTGAGCAAGAGACATTCATCTGGAAATAGGGTTAGCTTTGCTAATTTCTTTCCTTTCTTGACCTTGTGAAAGGCAAACCCTTCTTTAACCCAGCTGCCCACCTTTACGACACACTAATACTATATCATGTTGTAATCGTATCTCGATTGGAACTATATACAAGTGAATTTTCAAGTCAAATTCTCGAGGCAATATGTCTCATTATCAAGAAACAAAATATAACACAAAATAATACATAAATCACATCACATACATAGAACATAAAACAAAGAAAAAAACTAAATTAGAGAACGGTTGAGTAGATTTAGGTGTCTCGATAATCCCTTCGGCTGATGGACGTCGAAGGCCCGTTATAAGGGAGAAAAAAAATCCCATTAAGATAAGGTATGAAAGATGGTGATTCAACTATTTATCTCAATTTTAGTTTATAACTTTGTATCTGTTTTATGTTTAACTATTGGAATTACTTTGTGACCGCGTCGCGCTTCTGTACAGACTCTGGTGGCCAATTTTGAAACGGCCACGTGAGCAGCCGTACAACAAACCATCCACGGGATTTTGATCCGACGATGCAACTTTCACTGGAACCAGGCAAACGGAGAAAGGAACAAGAAGTTGGACTTCAGATTTGTATCATTGTGAAAAATCTAAGGTTGTCATTACTTAAAATTATGAACTCAAACACTGCATCATAATAATCGATATATATGAAGCTAATTAATTCAATTCTATCGAGCGTTTTAATTTATTTAAAGATAAAGTAGATACACATCTATCAACATCGGGAGGCAATCAGGCTTCCTCTACAGCGACAGATGGGAGCGGAGGGAACATTAACACGACTAAGGAAATTCAGGGGAAGATTTTGAGACTCAGGCTGAAGTAGGACTCGGATATCATCTCCGAGTTGCTGAATGCCATTTCCAACATCAACGGCCTTGTTATGTAAATGTGTAACATATACCCAAAACATACAGACTATACATAACAGTCTCCGTGTCTTTGTGTAGATACATTTGTATGTTTTATACATTTGTATGTTTTATAGTAGTGTGTTTATATATTTGTAAAAATAATTAAATGACGAGCTTTTTTGCCTCTCAACAAATGTATTGTTTACTTCATTGCCATGTAAAGGGCAGAAAATTAATTGACATATATCAAATTCATATCATTCACAAGGTACTTTTGGCTATTCATTATATTCTTTATAGTTAAACAAAATTCGAAATCCAAAATGGAATTTTCAAAATTCAAAAATTAAAAGGAAAATCGAATTGAGTGACTTTGGCAACAAATACAGAAGAGTTAGCTCCCCTGTGTCATTTGTTATGGTAATTCGATGTCTGATAATATTCATATTCAGACGAGTAAACTTTTGAGGCGATTTAGTATTTTGGGGGAAAGGGTAAACTTAATGGTGATGAGCCAAACAGTACATGGGCCATTTTTTTGGGTGGCGTTGACAAATCTTTGAAATATGAGTTGTGCACAGATGATGACAATATTTTAAGAAAAATAATTACTCTTTCAGAGGAGCGGGACAGGGACATGCGTTCATAGGAAGGGCATATAAATAGGCATGGTATATAATGAATTTTTAATGTGTGTGCACTTGACTATAAGTTCATTAAAGTCGGATATGAAATCATTCGAATGAGAAAATGTTTTATATAACCGTGCACAGTGCAATAATTGTACAATAACAGTCATTACCTAATGACCACCTCGTCCGATCGTTATTGACACGGAACTGATTTTACAAATAAGTTATAGAAACGTGGATATTGACTGAGAAACAAATGCTAAACAAACAAAGCAAATGGACAACAAAGCAATTAGCAGTGACTTGTAATTAATAACTTCAGGACACCTTTTTCAGAAAATCTGATCGAATAGCTCTCATATCTATTATTATATTATATGGACTATTCGTCCTTCCTCTTTAAAATTCTCGAAAGTATATGAAAACATTATGAACCCAGGTAAAACGATGCCAAGAATGAATGTCCCTGACATAATCATGTCTGCATCGTACACTTCTCGTTAAAAAGTATTGTACATGTAAGTATCAACACCAATACATTGTACACTTCTTCAATAATGCTTGCAGGATTCGTCATTATTGTTTTATTTACTGTAAGTGAATCGGTCAGTATATATTCACAAGTGCCATTCTCGAATATAGTTCAGGACTTCATCTTTGTTCTATGTATACGATGTGGTCATACATATATATATATATATATATAAACTTGAAGAAAACGTAGATTTAAGTATTAGTGCTTTCATTTCTGAATCTTCGTGGTGCTAGACTACATGAATAATGTATACAGTGGTATTTGTCAACATGTAATTATGTATCCATGGTATATCTAGCTTGATTTATCATTTAACAGCTACTAAAACAAAAACGGAAGGGAGAGAAAAAGTGTGATAAAATATCCAGTAGTTTTAGTGAGAAATCACCACCGATTCGGAGATGTAACTCAAATATATAGATATTACCAGCAATGTTCTATAAACCCTTTATAGACGACATCATAATGTACTTGTTGTTCAGTGTTAGGAAGACTATCAATAATTAACTTCACATATGTCGTCTTCGTCTACACAACTTCATTCGTACCTTACGGCAACACAAGTTGGCTTAACTGTTCCAATTGTTATCTGTAGATGCTCTGTATTATATATACTGCAAGGCTATTGATTCTATGTATAGTCATGTATATGAAGACTACTATGATATAACTACATTGCATTCACTTCAGGTACTTCATTCCAGTTATAAGTGTGAAGGCTATCACTGACTAAGTCTAATGGTGACTTGATCTTATCTATCTAAATATATGTACAGTGTATATAATCATATATATCAAACAATATAGTTCAATTTGCCTAGCCCTTATAACTAACAAGAAACTTTAATTACATATGATATATATATTTACTATCTGTAGGTATTGTAACTTTTTTCATGTTACATGCTGGGATATTTCACTTTATATCAATTTACTCGCGTTGGACGTAAAATGAATAGCTCTACAAATATGTAGCTAGAACACAGACGTAAATAGATCTAAGTTCGAGCTATAGTCGGGATATCTTTTTGTTTCCATACAGTATGCATTTACTGTGATTATATTAAAAATTTGTTACATTGTAATTATGAAAAAAACACGGGTTCATTCTGTTAAAACCCAGTTTTTTATTAAAGTTTCTGCGTTTTTGATTAAGTCAGTACAGTCTTGAAATATTTATTCCAACATCTTATCTCTCAGACACTGTAGCAACACGGATTTAGATTTTAAGTCCGTGGTATAGGGCCTACATGCAAATATGACATACATTAATTAGTACTAGATGTTGTGAATCGAACGCACTCAACATAAACTTTGACTCACGTTAAATCTCGTTGTGAGCGAGATGCGAATTCCATCATGGAATCTTAAAAACTGTTGATTGTCGCGAAGGCGGCTTCACCCGCTGAAAACTCCATTGTTTCCCTCTGATACTTGGAATCCGATTGTGAAGGCAGTGCATGGGTTCAACGTGATCAGGTAGGTGATATCATACACTAGTTATATCATTCAGGTAAAATGTTTCGTGTATGCTACAAAACTGTCAACACCTGTCAAATTCGCACCTGTGAGTGACGATGTTACGGTGTTGTCGCATGTTACCTGTGTTTTGCTATCTCCGCCCAAGATAGTTGCCTTGTCATTTTCTTACAGCGATTCAAGGAACTGATCACTCATCTAAGTATAGTGCGAATTAGCAATCTTTAATAACAAAAAGATTACGGTTGGTTTATGAAATTTGCAATACGCGCCCCTGTTTTCATGTTGAGACTCGTTTCACATGATAACAACTAGCAGTCGAAGTGTCGATGTCCTTATGTTTATGTTACAACACGACGTCTTGCAAAGAATAGCATGAATTTACTCGAGGAATATTATTGTGACTTTTAATGTAAGTATTTATAAAAGAATGAAAGATAACCTACTATATTATTGATTTTTAAGTATAGTTTCTGTTCATCTGAGTTACCAGATTAAACATGATTTTTCATATATGTACATAATTATAATTCCAACTGACTCCAATCTGTTAGCACTGTAAAGCAGTATTTATAAATAATTTTGAGTTAATACAGAGCAATGCTATTGCCTGTTTTAATGTCTGTTAAAGAAATTCACTTTAATATGTACCATTGGTGCTACTTAAATATAGAACTAACAATGTTAAATACAGTTTAGGAAAGGTGAAGTACATCAAAGGTTGATATTATCTATAATAATAAAAAATTTCTTCAGAATAAAGATGCACAGATTTTTATACAAAACATATGAATAAATGGCACATATTACATGTTATACATAATCATGAATAAGTTGTTTGCTACATCTTTAATGTATCAGCTAGTGATATTTATAAATAAAGCCAAAAGTACATATATCCTAGGATTTCCCAAAGAAGCGTTGAAACGCTTATATGTTTAACAGTCTGACTTACCGTGTATTTTCTTTTCCTCATAAATAGTTCACAAATGCCCTGTTAATCATCTTGATGGCTTGCTTTATAGCTATTGTCAGGGATTCCCATGAATGATAGATATAATATATATAAGTTGTTCCTCGACTATCATAGATAGTTTGTTGATTAATCCTCACTAAACCTGGAACACAACCATCTCGCCTTAATTTTCAATGAACATAGCTCGTCAAATATATAGAGAAAATGTATACATAATATTCTTGAATTGTATTCAAATCCTTAATATTTTTATTGCACACTATCTCTAATTTCAGAAAAGATGGCAACAGAATTCATGTATTCCCACATACACAACCCTTCAATGGGGAGTCCTTACAGCAACTCTAGTTATGGTAGTCACTTGAATGGCTATGGATCAAGGCAGAATGGAAAGAGCTTTGCCTTCAGGAAAAGATTTGAGAGAGTGGATTGGAGAAAGATTGCTTCTGTAGACATAAATCAGATAGCACAGACTCTTGACTTCAATGCCCTACAAGAAAACATCATGAACATTACTTTTTGTAATATTGAAGCAGAGTTGGTAAGTTGTAAGTCTACAGTAATTTTTATGATCTTTGTATCAGGGTTTATGTATTCTAGATATCTCTACATTAACTCTCATATTATGATGACATATTACTACATAGCAATCCTGTAATAACCCAGAGTACCAACAGTCATGCATTCAGCTTGGTACAGAACAATGAAACAGCATTTCTTTTTTATTCTACTGAATGGATATATATATGTGACACAAGTTGTTATATAAATATATCTGTTAGTAGTGGGACTAATTAAAGTAACCCTTCACTATAAATGTGCAAGACCACAGAAAAGATTTTCTCCTACAACATCAATTGCAATATAGTTCTATGTGTTGTTTACTCAGTATGCATGTCGTTGATTCAGCTAATACAATGTTGATTCAGTACACATGTTGTAAATTAGTATACATAATGTTGACTCAGTTTGCATAATCCTGACTCAGTATATATAATATTGACTCAGAATGCATAACACCGACTCACTATGCATAGCATTGACTCAATATGCATAATATTGACTCAGCATACATGATATTGACTCAGTATACATGATATTGACTCGGTGAACATAATGTTGACTCGGTATACATAATGTTGACTCAGTATACATGATGTTCACTCAGTAGTAATTCTTGTAGGAATTTTTGAGTGATTCAAAATCACTGTTTCCAAATCAATGAGTCTCATTACTAAGAGATAAGGTTGGTCCTAAAAGTTTGAATGAGTTCCAGAAGAAAATCATGAGCCCAGTGCTCAAATATCTGAGTAAAAAAAAATCACTACTCATTACATATGTTGTTGAAGTAGTATACATTGTGTTGACTCATTTTACATGTTGTCAACTCAGTATACATAAACATGCTTTTTACTCTGCATACTTGATGTTGACTCAATGTAGTTGTTGACTCAGATACATGATGCAGACTCGGCATGTATTTTTGTTGACTCGATACACATGTTGTTGATTCAGTATACATAAAGTAGACTTAGTGTATGTTGTTGAATCAATACATATGATATTGATTTAGTATCAATGTTGTTGAGTTAATATGATTTTGACTTAGTGTACTGGATGTTGGCTCAGTATGCTGACTCGGAATAAATGTTGTTGACTTTGTAAACATGTTGTTGACACCTGCTCAGTATGTTGATGCAAACTGTTGAATGTTTTATGATTTTTAGCATCATTTTATTTGACAGGATTTACGTATGGTGGACCCAAACTTTGTCAAGTTATTCAAGCTAGCCCAGCTGTCTATCGAGTACTTACTGGTAAGCAGAAAGATTAAAGCAAACTTCATAGCAAGCTTTCGATATTCATTGTAAATAGGGTTTTATTGTAATTGAAAAACATAACATCCAGTTACAAGCCTTGTATAGGCCTTGAATAAAACTGCATAATACTTATTTGATACAATAACTTTTGATGAAATTTGGCCTGTTAAATTTGAACAGATGAAGATCATAAGGTAATATATCTCACAAAATTATACAGAGCAGTATAAGTGTTTGAGATGTAATGATTAAGTGCATGGTTCGGGTAAAGAAATAGTTGAATTTTCACAGCATTCTCAAGAATACCTCACAGGTGTGATAACTTCTATGGAGGAAAAGGTGAAGAAATCACAGGAGGTTTGTACATTTATTTAAAAACTTGATGTCAGATTTTAAATGTAATTGTTTATCTATGACCCTGTTTATTACTTTAAGCATGACTTGCACTTCAAATTTTTCAATATCTTTGAATATCAACTTTTTAAAATTTACAAATTTTAAACCTAAAACAAGTTATAATGTAGAACAATTTCAAAGGATCACTCTTGTTGACCCGAACATATATGCAACTTGGTGGAAGGCAAGTATATTGCTAGTGTGTGTTACAACTATGTGTTGCCACAGTACTAAATGACCACCCTCTTCTAACCTATTTTACAATTAATGTTGTAAATTATAGGAACAAAATGAGACGAAACAGGCTGAAGACAAGCTGAAACAGCAATTAGCAGACGTAAAGAAAGAAAGTCATAAGCGAAAGAAGTTACTCATGGCCCAACAACAGTTGATTCATGCTGGTTCTGGTAGTTATAACAAGGTAAAGGCATCATTCATGTATAACATCAGGTTAAGGTTGTATCTGTCAGTTCTATAGTACATTAGGTAAAGGTTGTATCAGTCAGCTCTATAATACATTAGGTAAAGGTTGTATCTGTCAGCTCTATAATACATTAGGTAAAGGTTGTATCAGTCAGCTCTATAATACATTAGGTAAAGGTTGTATCAGTCAGCTCTATAATACATTAGGTAAAGGTTGTATCAGTCAGCTCTATAATACATTAGGTAAAGGTTGTATCAGTCAGCTCTATAATACATTAGGTAAAGGTTGTATCAGTCAGCTCTATAATACATTAGGTAAAGGTTGTATCAGTCAGCTCTATAATACATTAGGTAAAGGTTGTATCTGTCAGCTCTATAATACATTAGGTAAAGGTTGTAGCAGTCAGCTCTACAATACATTAGGTAAAGCTTGTATCAGTCAGCTCTACATTTGGTAAAGGTTGTATCTGTCAGCTCTATGATACATTAGGTAAAGGTTGTATCAGTCAGCTCTATAATACATTAGGTAAAGGTTGTATCAGTCAGCTCTATAATACATTAGATAAAGGTTGTATCAGTCAGCTCTATAATCTATTCTTAACATCCAATGCACAGAGAAAATATTCTCTGGTTTCTTCATTGATTTGATGAAGCATCCATTTTTTTGTTTACAGTGTCCATTTTGCTCAAAGGCATTTCTGAACAGTTCCTTCCTTCAATCTCACATTAATCGTCGTCATGGTGATCAGTCTGTCCACTCAGCAGTGATTACAGCTCCAACTCAACCAGAGCCGGAGAAACCTTCAGAATTCCAATTGCAGATGGATGAACTCCGAGAGAGGCTACATGCCACTGAAACTCAACTACAACAGGAAAAAGTCAAACGCAAACAGGTATGGTATAAGTATTGTGCAGTAGCAATACCTTATTATTATTATGCATGTAGTTATATTGAAACATAGTCCTAAATATGACATAGCTGTATTATTACATGGGTACTGTTTTATTTGGTAAATAAACTGTGTAATAATTTTGTGTGTTAACTCCTGTTAATTAAACTCTTGTGATGTTAAACTTAATTATTGAAGTGACCTCACACACAGGGAGGTTACAGTGGCGACCATAGAATTAAATAAAGTTGAGTGGAATTCAAATTTGACATGAAAAAATATCTTTTCTGAAATGTTTACCACAATCATTGCTCATATCATAAAAAAATCTGAAATGAGTTTCCCATTGATATTCAATTTACGAAACTCAAACAAATTTCATCTTAGCCTGCAAAAGGCTCACGAAAACGAAAAATTCATAGGCTTGTTTCATAGATTACATATGAAATGGAAACTCATTTAAGTTTATATCTTGACTTTTTTATTTGTGCTACTGTTGTGTGATATAGCTGATATCACATTGACATCACATTTAATATATCTAAGAAAGGTGACACAAAGTTTCATGTGTCACAGGATTTGTAGTCTTTGTTGAAAGAGGGTGGAATGTAACAGAGATGAACAGGGTGTCATTTGTGACCAACTAGCTGAGCACTGTTAGTTAGAATATTTGTCTATGGTTTAGGTGTCCAGAGTTCAAATCCTGGTCTCTTTGTAACTTTTAACCACCAGACTTTGAATCCTAGTCTGGTTTATGCACTTTTCCTGACCTGAAAACAAGTGTACAGATTCACAACTTGAGAAATGTTAAAAAGGAAAGTTATAGTATGTGTACATCTGTATAAATTAATATACAACGATAAAAATGCTTTGTCAAGTGAGATTTTATATCGCAATATTTGATTTGATATTTCCAGGAAAAAGAGAGAAAAATGAAACTACAGCAAGTAGAAGGTATCTCTGTAAGTACTGCATCATGGTTCTGTTTAGTAGCAACACATTCTGGAAATACAGTGCGATCAGGTCATTTGATGAAGATAATGATAAAAGTGTGAAGAAACAAAACACGTACATTTAGCTGTGTATTTATACTACATTTCATACAACAATAGATACAAAATATACAACCTGTACCTACATAATTAGATCTGGTGAAAGTTATACAAAATGTCATTTTCAATGAATCTAGTGACGAACCTGTCTTAAAGGCTACATGTCTATAACAAATAACTGTATGTGATTGTACAAAATCATTTTAGAGATGAAACAAATCTATCAGTAGATATGTGTATATCTAAAGAACTATTTAATAAAGTTGGAAGTATTTTTTCAATTTCTATTTCTTACATTTTATGTTTTATCAAGGCAACAGCAAGTCACTGTAATTTGTTCTCATTTTGATTTTACGACTTACTGAATTTTATTTTTATTGGATTTTTCTTATTGATATTTAGGAGTCAGAGAAAGAAATGTACCAGAGAGAAATAAATGCATCTAATAAGAAAATTGGGGAGCTTGAAAGAGCTTTTAATGAGAAGTTGTCAAAGAGATCAGGTCTGGGTGAATTAGAAGATGACATTGAAGTTGAAAAAGAACTACTGCACAAGCAGCGTGAGGAAGTTGCCATGTTGAAAGAAGAGCTTGGAGCTAAGGTAGGCTTAATAACTTAATAATAACTAGGATTGTTGATATCAAAAAGGCAATTATGAAGGATTTTCTTTAATACAGAAAGAAGATAAGAGAAAATGGTGGATTATAACTAGTAGTAGTTGGAGTTCATTAGTGATCTATTTTTTGTCAGGTGTGACTTTATCATGATCAAAAGAAGTTGTCAGATAAAGTTTATAATCACTTCAACCTATCAATCATCCTTGCTCATCGTGTATGACCCATGACCTCTTGATTTGCGGGTGCAACACTTGTGCATACATGTACCATCTGGTATTCAGGCTGTGGAGGGAAGTCATTTCACAAGTATTATCTCATTTCAAATGGGTGGAAGGGCATGGGGAAGGGGAAGTTGGCAAGGTGGGGAGGGGGGACTGGTTTGTACAATATTATATCAATTCTATTGTTCATCAGAAATAATTACTAAAATTTACATATGTGAAAAGAAAACTGAAATACTAGGACTTCCAGTATATGTGCTTTTGGTGTAAGGATAAATCCTGATAGCCAGGTATTGTTCCTAAATTCATATGGCTATAGAAATATCATAGAATAAATAGGATATATCAGATGCAATGTAACATTGAATTGGAGGTGAACCATCACACTGCTTTACTTCAGGATTTCATTCATAAGTTAAAGTGTTATTTCTTATATAATCAGATCTGGAACACATTTTCAATCCCTGTACAAGTTCTGTTTATTATAATGTCTGGATATTGTAAGCTAGTTTGAGGTTTTACATTGTCTTGTTACCAATCAGAATAAATTCATCTTCTATATTTCATGAGATAATGCCAGCGAGTGCATCATAGTATAACTCTCGACTCAAACAAGGCAAAAATAAAAAAAGAAATAAAATGGTAGACAAAATTTTCTATTATATAACTAATTTTTATTTTCATATATCATACTATTATTACAGGTGAAATCTGTCGAGTCAGATGTAGAGATTCGATTTGCAAAGCAGGAGAAAAAATGGCAGAAAAAGGTTCAAAATTTGACACGCCAACATGCAGATGATATAGGAAAGGTAAGGCTGTAATATAGTCAACTGGTCATCAGGAAGTGATGAAGGCAATATATAGTGGAGAAATGTATACGGGGTGCCACCTAGTGATGGGACAATGATCAGCTTTATTCATATATCTCATAAAGTAACCTAGTCTGATGTGCTAAGTCATTGTAAATTTTTATAATTGATCGTCAGTACCTCAATATTTTCTTTTACATTAGTATAAACAAAATATAAGAATCAAGATAAGGATTATTGTGATTTGAAAATCTTGTGCAGTTACCCCGGTAGCAAACAACTGTTCAACTGTATCTGTTCTGGTTAGAAGTCATTAATGTTTAAAACATGTTGTATAGACATAGTGATGTTGACAATACTGTATTTGTAAGGTAAAAAATATGTATGTGATTATAACTATCTCATTCAGCTGAATATCGTCCTTGAGAAAGCCGGGCAAGCTCTGGCCCATGATAAAGACGGCCGCCAGCATCAAAAGGAGGTGCAATCTGTTCTTAAGGTTAGTAGCTAAAAATTAATAATATCAAGATGATATTTGGGGAGACAATATTTATATTTTGGCATTATGTTATTATATCATGAGATATTCTTAAATCTGATATATGCAAATAGAGGAACACATTGAATGTCTGTCACAGTGACTTTTTGATTTTGTGAGAATCAAATGTTAAACTGAAATATATGCACATCTTTCTAAAGTTCAAATGTAACTGGATAATAGACAAGGTTTTATGCTGAGGACCACTAGTAAAATGGCATCTCGAGAACTTTTATCACCACTTTCAAATCTTATTGTTTTGTTTTTTGTAGCGATCCAAGGAACAGGAGGAGTTATTGAGGAGTCAGGGAAGCCAGGGATACGAGGATGAAGTGGAAAAGATGTACAGGGAAGAGGTATAATATCTATTTCCTACTTTTTGTCTGTCATGTAGTTACGAATGTCATTACTTAAACTGTCTCCAACAGACTTCTGTTTGGTTAGGAACTGTCTCCAACAGACTTCTGTAATGTTAGGAACTGTCTTCAACAGACTTCTGTCATGTTAGGAACTGTCTCCACCAGACTTCTGTCATGTTAGGAACTATCTCCACCAGACTTCTGTCATGTTAGGAACTGTCTCCACCAGACTTCTGTCCTGTTAGGAACTGTCTCCACCAGACTTCTGTCATGTTAGGAACTATCTCCACCAGACTTCTGTCATGTTAGGAACTGTCTCCACCAGACTTCTGTCCTGTTAGGAACTGTCTCCACCAGACTTCTGTCATGTTAGGAACTGTCTCCACCAGACTTCTGTCATGTTAGGAACTATCTCCACCAGACTTCTGTCATGTTAGGAACTGTCTCCACCAGACTTCTGTCCTGTTAGGAACTGTCTCCACCATACTTCTGTCATGTTAGGAACTGTCTCCACCAGACTTCTGTCATGTTAGGAACCGTCTCCACCAGACTTCTGTCATTTTAGGAACTGTCTCCACCAGACTTTTTCATGTTAGGAACTGTCTCCACCATACTTCTGTCATGTTAGGAACTGTCTCCACCAGACTTCTTTCATGTTAGGAACTGTCTCCACCAGACTTCTGTCATGTTAGGAATCAATGCGATTTGATATTTTCATTAAGGTTACATATATATATCGAAAAGACATTTCAATCCATGTTATAAATTTGTACTTTCCTTTCCTTCATTATAGATATCAAGACTTTAATATAGCTGTAGAGTGAATATTTTACTGAATTTTTAGTACAAATCTCACAATCAGTTTTTACTCTTAAATGTAAGACTTTATTCATTATGAAGATGTAAACTTGAACCTCACTATCAAGAAAAGTACTGTTTACTACTGTCATTATATAGCTATACAACACCATTCCATTTCCTGAACTTCACAGTTCATGTTTACTCATACTTAAGTGAATGTATCACTTGATATTGATGTCTTATTCAGCAGTTAATAGCCCAGAGTGAGGTGACGCCTCTTCGTCTTGAAAATTCTAGTCAACGAAGGAGTATGATGATGCCGAGTGATGATGAAGACGATGAAACCACAGGTAAAATTGAATCACTTGAATTCAGATGGGAATTAAGACCTGAAATCTTTTTTTCAAAAGATAAAAATTGAACACTGAGGACATTACAGTTTTCCCCATTAAAATTAGTTTAAAGATAAACCTTTGTTTGTCTATTTGAAGATCAACTTATTATTTGTACCTTTCATTGAAACTCCATTCAATTGTAACAGATAAATGACATAGTATATTCAAATGACATTGAGTCTGATTCAGTTGTATGATGTAGATACTTATATTAAAATGAGGTTCTTAATTATACACTCTCTAACCATGAAATATAATTTTCCATCTTTGTAGAAATGGCCACGGCATCCCAGAGCTTAACCCAGTCCCTACACAGTACCTACAGGTGAGTCAGAGAATGTAGTCCGACCTAGTCCCTACACAGTACCTACAGGTGAGTCAGAGAATGTAGTCCAACCTAGTCCCTACACAGTACCTACAGGTGGGTCAGAGAATGTAGTCCAACCTAGTCCCTACACAGTACCTACAGGTGGGTCAGAGAATGTAGTCCGACCTAATCCCTACACAGTACCTACAGGTGGGTCAGAGAATGTGTAGTCCAACCCTGTCCCTACACATAAACTTACTTAGACATGATGGAATTGATGCAAGGCCTCAAGGTGATGAACAAAATTACAAAATAATAGTAATAAATTATATAATATTAACACTGAGTGTGATGTTTCTAGCTAGCATTTATAACGTTCTGTCATGATCTGGATAGAAAAGTAGGGGTCACATTGCCTCTTTAAAAAGTTCTGCCAAACAAGATGTAGTGGTTATCAATATGTCTAGGCACAAGTTTCAAAGCTTTTGTGTAATTGATTATGTTTGTTATGTAGGAGTGGAGAGTTGACTTTGAGAACTACCCAATTCCTGGAGGAATTACGTAAGAATCCTACACTGAAGGTGATGCGTGATGAACTAGCCTCATTACTACAAGACCATCTTCAGAAGATTGGTATTCCTCCAGTAAGTCTCCTGTACATTATACTGCGATTGGGTTAATCATAAACCCTCACCTGTTTCAAATGGTAAACAATGACCCCAATATTCTGAAAAATTACTAAGTAAGGCTGCTGTACAAGATATGGCTCTGTCATATTATTAATAATCATCACAAAATGGCCTGATAGTGAAGTATGATTTAACATTGCTTTGCTGGTGTAGTTATACACCAAGCTCTAGCTGTCATGTTACAAGAAATCTTCCCAAACATCCCCAAAACTGCTTTCACATAAACAAGTTGAAGAATCAAGGCAGCAAAGAAATATTCAGAGGTAAATGAACACACCTATTCTGGATATGGCAAATGTTACATTTATAGGCCATAATGTGCACTTTGAGAATTTGCTGCAGAGGATAAAATGACAGAACATTCCTAAAATGTATTGCTTTTAAACCTGTCTTGAATACAACTACCTGGAAATATATGTGTATGTCGTCCTAGAGTGGTGTGGTAACGTAGACATGAAATTAGCGAGTACAACTGACCCTTTATACTGGACATGTTGAATATTCCTCAGATAAGCCATGATCCTGACCTGTATCTGGTGTTTTACTTAAAAGGCTTACACAATAGTTATATTATGTGAAAGGAACAGTAACTTTGTTATATCCTGCATGCTGTCTGATTAAAAAATCAAATTGAATGTGTCTATATTGATTTACTGGACTTGTTCGTAAATATTTTGAAAATATATATATTTCCTTTTATTTAGGAAATGAGAGGTATTCCTGATGACGTTTTAGTCAGTAAGATGAGTCTTCTGAAAACTAGACGACTGGATACTGTAAAGGTTTGTACATTGTTGGGAGGATTTTGGTAAAGGGAGGTAATCTAAAGTCATCAATAGACAAATTTTGTTTATTTTTTCACTTGAAATAGTGAAAGAATACTACAAAAATAATATGTTATCTAATTAATATAATTCAGATCTGAGAATTGTTTCTTGAAGTTTGCTCAAAAGTTTTAGTCTAGTGATATATCTATTTCTAAATATAAAACAAAACGACCCGGGGCAAATTATTGTGAAGGTGTGTCTGCCTACATAATCATATTTTTGAGTTTTGGATTGGTAATGAATTGAAGTCTTCTCTGGTACACAACCTGGAATATCATAGTCTTAAAATGTTTCTGCTGATGGATCTAAGTAACTCATGAAAGCTTGTTACAAGTAAAACATAAAAATTCTGTCACTAAAGCCAAGAAATCTCATTAACAAATGTCTTTGAATTAAGCACTGTGTAGATATTAAAGAATATCAAGTTTTTTTTTTGATGCTATGGAAATGGTTGCTAGATCAGTTCTCTGTTGATAGAAAATCGACGTGCAGCATTTGTTTTTCTGATTCTGAGAGTTTTCATAATTATTATGTGGCTTCCCTTAGCAAAGAGATGACCAGGCAATTAAACATTCACTGATATTTTATATGTGAAAAAAATGATTACATTTCAATGTTACTGCAGATGGATTTCAAAATAGTATTACATTGTTATATGTAAATTGTTTTTGACTTATAGAAGTACCCAATCTTTCCTGAGTTTCGACGACAATGTAATGCTTATGCAGAACAGCAGGCTAAAGAAAGGCTGAAGGAGATGAAGCGTTCTCCAGTCACATCTCCAGGTGAGAACCCTTATGACATTTGTTGCAATATTTGATATCAAAATTGTCCATCTCATATCTTTGTATTCAAATGTCATTAATTGTATAGTAATATGACTAAAGGGAGGGGGTCAGAGCCACGATTGCTTAGATGGTCAGGTGACCTACGTCACCTTAGGTGAAGATCGAAGGTGTGTGGTTTGACACTCCCTACCATTGGCAGTTTGTGTTTCTCAGAAGGCTGAGAAATGGATGTTTCATGTCTAACATTTATTGACAGTGAAATACCTTGGCACAATTTTAAAATCTTCACAAATTCTTTCAAAGCTGGATCACGAACGACAAGCCCTCAAAGACCACAAGCTGTAAGTCCACCTGGCCAATCTGCAGCACAACGCAGGACCCCACAATCATCAGGAAAGGCAAGTCCTACTCGACCGAATCAACACCCTGCCCCTAAACCTCAACCCCGAGTCCCTAGCCCACAACGAACTATGCAGTCAACAGGAACTACAAGTGGAGGACGTACTGGGTATGTTAGCTTCTTTACTGTATCAAACTTCCTTCTCAAGGTTATCAAGGTTGATGACAGCAAATATATCTTATAGATTTTTTGAATGAAGAAAATGGTGAAGTAATTTTTAGTACTTCTTGGGTTTTTATTTTATAAGAAAACAGTTATTCATTATGTTTGTACATGAATTCAATTTTCACAACCATGCCATATCATTAAAAAATCATGGCATTTGGACAGTAACTGAAATACAGATGAGTTAGATTATCATAGGCAGGTTCCAGTGTAGAGGATTTATAGAATTGTCAGATCTGAATATTATGTATGTGTTCTGAAGTTCTCCATGACAGCATCTTACCCAACTAAAAAAATAAAAAATTGTTGAAATGAAATATTGGGTGTGTATTATGATATGATTTGAAATTGTTTCATATTAGAACTAAGAACAGGGGACATTCTGTTTATGAGTGCTAATGTCTTATTCTGATATTACATGACAGATCTAGTGTAGACTGGACCAGCACACAGTGGGATTCAGATGATGATGATGATGAGGATGAAAGTGAAGATGAACAGGCCTTCAGACATGTTACACAGATAAAATCAGGACCTCGTAACATCTCGCCATCACCCAAGCCCAGAACGTCACCCCATCAGCCAGCTCCTGTGACTCGTACCGCTGGTCCACAGGTCAAAACAGTTATGTCTAAACCTTTACATGATGATGATGACTGGGATGATGATGAAAGGTAGATTTAATAGAAATTAACAAAGATTCAGCTTTCTTTATCTAAAAGATTTTTTTCTTGCAGAACTCAAAAATTAAATCATATACTTATTTCATTAAAAAATTGTTTCCAATATGAATTCAGAAAAAAACCATAAAAAATGTATGTTTAAGATCACTTATTATGAAGTGTCTGTGAGATTAATCATCAGTATCTGTCATCTATTATGTGTCCTGTCAACTTTTTGCAGTTTAAAAATTTCATTTGATGACTACAAAAGGTTTATCACTAAACAAGGCCTGTGAAAACATTAACCTTGTTATGCTTCAATCTTTTTTGAATCAGAAAGTTTTGTTAAACTACACCAACTGATTTGTAAAATGACCATCCATACTTCTGACTGGCAGAACATTTCCTAATTTAGATATCATAATCTAATAAATCCTGATTAAAGTACAACAAAAGATTGAAGAATGAAATAGAACATTTTCTAAGTAACTATCAGTAATATATTGGTCTTCTAAATGTAGTCCGATCTCAATGTAGCAGAATTCAAAATACAGTTTTCAAGTCACTTATGACATTTATGAAAATGGCTGTTAAGGTTTCTTCCCATGGAGTTGGTAGACAAGTACTTGTTTAACAGTATGGATGAAATCTAGATATGTCACATCTTCAGATTAAGTAAGTCACAGGTATTAATGGCACAATCTGTATAACATGAAATTGAAATGTAAAGAAAGAAAAATGTTGATAGAATCACTTCCAAAAAAATTATATTTCTGTGGTTCATTAAATGAAATGATGAAAAAAAACTAAATTTTAATTTTTGTTTTCAAGTGAAATGGATCATGGAGGATTTGGTAAGCCAGCCATTCAGAGGTCAAGTAGCATGCCAATGAAAGGACCATCCAGTGTGCAACCCAAGGGTCAAAAAGTGGCCGAACTCTCACGCTCTATTGAGTATCAGTTAGCTGTAAGTTGTCACCGTTGTTATCTGTGTACTAAAAGGTGTTACTCCTTCATGTGTTTCAAGTGTTTTTGATGAAACTTGTTTCCCAGCAATATCAGTCAGTACAAGGAAGTTAGCACTGCATCTGTCAGTATCTCCAACCACATTTACTTAAAAGTACTGCCATGTATTTTATAAATGAGCAACAGGAATTTAACAGATTTCCAGTGATATGACCTAAGTTAGGCACCAGCTATGTAACAACTTTGGCAATTTGTAATACAGTATTGGCATGGAGTTTGTTCATATACTAACTATAATGTAAAGTTATTTAGAAAAATGTCTCAGATATTCGACATTTAAACCCTTTTTGGTTCAAAAAGCTGCAGTCTTAGTTTTGCCTAACAGTGCATTAAACTCTATTTCTATCGACCTAGTAATCGGGGCATTTAGGTCTTTCAAGTATTGTTGTTGGAATGTTTTTAGTGTTAGTTTTTATTGCTATGAAAGATTTATCAACAAACTAAAAATGGGAATGTTTCACCAACAACAAAGTAAACTTTTAAAATAAAGATATAAAGTATTATGTATTCAATTGATACTTATACTCAGAAAATTTAGAATATATTATGTTTGCTGATGCAGGGGAGGAAAGCAGCAAAGCCGGTAGGAGGGATAGATGTGATGTCTAAAGGAAAGAACAATGAGGTAGGTCAATTGGCCTGACACGTGTCTCTGATAACAATAGTTAGCACACACTGGATCTTGATATAGTATTGTTATCTGATACCCCCATATACTTAACACATGTACATAATAAGATGCACACTCAAGCGTTATTTGGTTTATGTTAATCAGCAATTGTACACAGAGTTTCATCAATATCACAGGCTGAAAATCCTCTTACCATATAAACTTGATGTATTTCACTTCAACAAACTTGTTTTCAACCCAAAAACATGTGACAAAATTTTCAGCTAATGTCACAGATAACAATTATTATCTCTTTCATCAGGAGGAGTCTGATAGTAACTGGGATGTATCTTCAGTAGAAGAGGACATCTCTCCCACCAGAGCTGCTCCAAAGTAAGTCAAATATTTGTCATTGAACTCGATAGGACTACTCCCAAATAAGTCAAATATTAGACATCTCACCCTATACAGTTGCTCCCAAGTAAGTCAAATATTAGACATCTCACCCTATAGAGCTCCTCCCAAGTAAATCAAATATTAGATATCTCACCCACTAGAGCTGCTCCCAAGTAAGTAAAATTTTAGACATACAAGCCCAATAGAGCTGCTCTCAAGTAAATCAAATATTAGATATCTAATAGAGTTATTACCAAGTAAGTCCAATGTTAACATTCAGCCATCCTTGTCAGAAGTTAGATTTTTGATAACACAAAAAGTGTATGTGTATATACATTATTTACTACTAGTATCTTTCAAACATTTAATCCATAGTGTGTAAATATATTTATAACTTCATAGCTTGGTAGTTGGTAGATTTTACTTTCTTTTGTCCTCTACAGGAAAGCACCATTACCGGTGAGAGGAAGTCATGCCTCGGACACCTCTAACACCTATGGGACAAGTGTCTGGGGGTCCTCATCTAAAGGTAAGTCACCTACAAAACCTGATAGAACCAGTAGTAGAATAGAATTATCTCTTAAAGGTTAAGTTCTTCTCTAGACAACCAGGTATGAATCCTGGATTTGACATGAAAATGTGTTGGGTTGTGTGCCTGACCATGTAAGATTTTCCCTCCTACTGTGTGACCTTATGCTTGTCGATGATTGTTACTTTTGATTCTAACAGTTCCTGTTGTTTAATTTTCTACCAAAATTGTAGTGCTATCCAGGAACGCACGTCAATAAGATGATTGTATGGATTAAATTACCTCCCTTCATCGCATATTCTTATTATTGTTATCAAATCATACCACAGTTATAATGGTTCAAATTATTGTTTTGGTTTGTTTACATTTTCTAACTATTATTTAGAACTCTTGTAATGTAGATTGTCCAATTATTTCAAAGTATGTTAGCCTGTAGCCTTAAGTAAAATAATCAACCATTAGCTCATTGCAAATACTCAACACATACTATATTTTTCATGATGTTTCCCAGGACATACTGTTTTTTACCAGTGTTTTTGTGATGTTTTGCTTTTTAGTTTATTATATGTTTAGGTGTTGTCCACACACCTGTGACTATTTTTTCATTGTGTCTACAGCTGCCAGTACTGTACCTGCTGGGTCGAGTGCTGTTAGAGGATCAAACTTCAGCGTGACAGATGTGAGCTCAGATGATGAGTTAGACCTAGACAACATATAGACCCAAGTTCAACATACTTGCCATGTTTTTACTCCCATATCAAGAAAAAGTACCTCTCAGTGGCCAGTCATGGCCCACTTGCATGAAACTGTGAAATATTCAGGTTCTTGGCCTTCCTTATTGGGCAAATGATATACCCAACCACCCAAGGACAGACAGCTTCCCTACACCAAGACACATTGTCAGTACAGAGACAGACAGAATACCAGTTCTCTGACTCATGATTTGGTACAATGATGGAAAAAATACCTGTACAGAGATGGATTAATTAACTGTACAGTAAAACTTGGTTTTAGTACTGAGACAGACAGATATCTGTACTCTTTCACCTTGTCTTTTCACCTCAAGTTCAGCGAGAAGACAATTTACAGAAATCTTAGAAAATGTATTTGTATTTCCTGTGAATTATGGTTGTGCTACAACATACCGTCCAATACATATACAACATCAATTAATGATTAGAGATTAGTTCATTTTTAGTTTATGTGCAACTTTATACAGTAAGTTTACTTACTGACTTTACTTATAAAATCCTTATATAGGAAATTGACTGACTTTTCTGGGTATCTAACTACAAACATAGTTGGAGTTAGGTTCGTAATTTTCAATTTTATGCACACAAAATTTAAACTGCTTCACTGAATATGTTACTTCAAGGTAAAAAAAAATTTAATAACTATCAGAAACAATACTATGTTTTTTTTTTTTTAAAAAAGGAGTTTATAAGTTTGAAGCTTTTTCCTTTAAAAATCTGTTCGTTTTAAAGATAAATTTGTGATATTTGTATTAAAATAATTTGAAATATTTGTGAATTATCTCCCTTCTGCATGATATTTATTTGTTGTTATGAAGAAAATGATTATCTTAGTATTTTGGGGAGACTACACGTCTGATAAAAACTACATAAAGTATTTTGCAGTAGAAAAAGACTGATAGATATTATCCGTTCCGATTGTTGTATGCATACATTACTATTGCAGATTCTTATCAAGAACACTTTGTCCTCAACAGATTTACGTGAAGCTGTGCTATTTGTTGACAACACTGATTCTATATCTTAGTTTGTCTGTAATGTGCATGTTTCTCAGCATGAGTTACTATTGCCTTTAGATGTTGTTAAGGTATGAGCAAAGCAAATCTCTGTAGTTACAGCCAAAATTGTGTACAAATGACTTTACCTATAGATTTAATTACAGACTAAAAAATCTGTATTTTAGAGGAGCATTGTAAATCTGAAAAGTAGACTTCAAAAGTTGTTCCATATGTTGTACAGTTACGACAACTGCAAAATATAGACAATATAAGATATGTAAATAATAGAGATTTTAGCTATATCAATATGTAGTTAACTATCAATGTTGTGTCACAAAAAGTAAACCTTAATGAAATATCAATTATTTCATTAAATTCAATTTAAATATGTTGTTAAAGATATTTTTATGGGTTAACTTTTTAAAAAAAATGCCCATTATCTGATATGAACTTTGAAAAAATAAGTTGTTTGTGATTTTATAAAGGGCTGAATGAATTATTTCTATTTATATCACAAAAAGTGCATTGGCCATAATAGTGCTTTTAACATTTGCCAATCAGAATTTTAATATGAAAAATGTGATACTCAAAATGTTCTTTTTTACAGGTGGTTTTAGCCTTTGAATTGTGTGATAGATATTTTTCATAACATGGTTTCTGAATTAGCATTTGTTAAGTTAGTTCTTGATAAATTTCCCTTGTAAAGAAAATTAAGTTGGGGATAAGAAGAATTTGAATTAAAATCTTTATAAAAGCAAACATTTTTGATGAATTAAATGAAGTTATACAGATTTTACACAAAATACTGTTTATCTATAATTATGATTTTAAATTGATTCCCTCCGCCAAGTGAATTTTTATTTTCAGTTATGTAATAGATTTTAGATAATACATATCAGAAAGTTTCTGGGTAAACATTACCGCTCCGTCCTGCTTCAGTACAATACAGATATCCTGGTATGGAGATGATAGTTGGAAATTTCTAGGAATACCACGTGAGGCCTTGAGTTTTGTGATCATTAGCCTAACAAGTGGTGTCTATATTATCTACATAACATGTTGACTGGTATTCCAGTTTCTACATACAATTTTTATGTACAATTGTTTTGAATTTTGATTTTAAAGTGTTTCCTTTAAGTGTTTAAAATGAATTTGAATGGGATTTTAATATTTACTCTTCTTAAAATTGCAATGTTGTGATTTATTGCAGATTTTGTTCCCTTTGTGCCTCTTGTGAATGACCTTGATATTTACAACTTCCATCCATTGTGTGACAGCCAATCACCACCTCTGTTAATATCATGTAATTCATGGCTGTTCTAACTTTATATTGTTGAGGTTAATTTATTATGCAACCAAACATTAAATTCTCAGTTCCGAGTTCATTTATGTGAAACTGATAAGAATCAATAATTATGTGTAAAGGATTGCCTGGTATTATAATTATACATTCAGATTAAGTTACTGGCTTTACATATCAGCTGTGACACATTTCTTAGTGATAATCATACATGGATTATGGATGGTTCTGATCTTTTAGAAACAAATACAAACTTAAGAATGTGATTGATTTGAACTTAATACTGGAATTTCATCATTAAATAAATGATATGTCAAAAGTAGAAAATTTGGATTAATTAAAGGGTACTATTACACATTAATGACGATATACTGACTATTAATTATCTGTTAACCTGTTTATTGAATTTCACAAACTTTTTATTGCCTTTACCTACTCGCCACTTGTCCGTCCAACAATGAGTAAGGTTTACACTCTCTGTTAGAATGATATTGTCCTGTTATTGTGATACCTATTTGTCTATTACCTGTTGATGTATATCATAACTTGTACATACATGCATATCACATTCTGTTGTTGTCACTTTTGCTTTGTTATTATTGATGTTTATCATGCTTAAATTAAAAAAAAACAAACAATATTCTGAAAGCTTGTATAGGTGACATGGAATTTCGTTTTATCCGTATTTTCAGATGTCGATTATGTTGATGATTTTTAGGCCTGGTTTTGTTTGAATGGCATATCAATTGTAATTGTAGACTTAACTCAGTTGCCGTTATATCGTGTTTAAATACTGGTATTACATATTGTGGTGCTCTGACTAAGGAGTCACATGACTTCTGATGTAACATCATAAACAAATATTTTACATTTCCAGTTTTATTTAGACAATTCCAGAATTATCAGTTTAGACTTCCCCACCGTTACAAATATGTTACCTGCCCAATTGAATATATTTAACTTCAAATGCTATAAAAGAGAAAATTTGCTCTCACTTTAGTGTATAAACTCATATTCCTCTCTGTAATTTGAATTGAATACTCTTTCTTATCTTAAATGAAATCGATTAATGTTGCAAAGGTACTTGTTGCATATAAATTGTATGACTTCCTGAAAACAAATTCAACATTATCAGAACACTTAATCTTAAAAATCATAATCAAAAAGAAAAAGCATGGAAATATTTCAGATTTTTGAATGGACTCGTCAACTCTATTTTAATAAACAGTTTTTGTATTTAGTTATTTGTGTATGATATTTTAGTTGATTACTTTAACTTAGAATTTTAGATTTAGCCTTGTCCAATATATATGATGTATGATCACAAACAATGCGGTCACAAGTCCATACATTTACTATTCATAGGTTGTATCTATACACACATACATCTGATCATTGATTTGTTAATAAAATTATTAGCAAATATTTCTAACTTAATTTGTGTTGTTTTTAATGTCACTTTATGTACAAATTACATATAGGTAAGAGTATGGTTATAATATGGGTTTAGGAGTGTTACTGCTGATAATCTCTGAAGATTGTCACTTGAAATAAGTTTTTGTATGTGTGATTTTAATTAATGTGTAAGAATATGTGTTTGAGTGTATGAGTAAGGCTTGATAAACTTTAAGAATATGTGTTTGAGTTTAAGAATATGACTTGATAAACTTTTAAGAAACTTTTAATGCATATGCAATGTAAAGTGTGACTTTTATATGTAACGAGCTTTTGTTGACGGGGAATAAACCGAGTGAGCGTGAGTTTTGATAAGATTTTAAGTGAAAGACCATGACAGACTTGGACAAATATAAGATTATGTAAATATGAAGAGTATGACTTTGATAAACGCATATTAGTGTGACTTTCAGTAAGATTGGATACATAATGTAGTGTTATTTCTGGTAAATGTCATTTTCTTTCATTTCTAGCTATATATACCTTCTTTTAAAAAGTCGTCAACTATGACTTCATAACATATTCATTCCCAGATGCTACTCACCATCATTACTTTGTCCACCCTGGTTTATGAAGATAAAATTGTTGTCAACATTTCAGGCATAAATTGGGAAGTATCTGGAGATCCTAATACAGGCCTCAGAAATCTTTGTCAATTCTTATCAGAAACAATACATTGTAAGATCAATAGGTTTTCCTTATTTCAAATCACTGACACTAAACGTCCACTGAAGTAATGTATCGGTAAAGGAACATTTTTATGCTTCAAGCATTGTAACACATCCAAGGATCAGAAAAAATAACGAGAAAATACCAACATGTCAACTTTATCATAATTCAAACTCAGATTCAATAAAACTGGGACAAAATATGAACAAAAGAAAGATTTTCTGAAAAAGACCAGGTGCTCCAGAAGAGTAAGCATTTTTTGCTTCATTGATGATACCTGCCATATACATCTTGGTCCATTCAAGTAAGTAATATCACGTCATGAGAACAAAGTATACAACTACAGAACCAACAGGCAGACTAACGAGATTATCCTGCCAGTTTGAAAGCTTTCTGATAAGTTTACACATAGAAAACAAACAAACCAGTCAAACAGTGAAACATCATGATTGTAGGTAATATTTTATAAAAATAATTCAATGAAAACAGTATAAACAATATAATAATATTGGAATTGACAATAAATGTATTCAATCGTTAACATCGTCAATTTTACATTTTATAAATCTTCCCAGGAGTTACCCTCCTTAAATACTTTTCGACGCTCACTGAGTGGTTCGGTGCTACCAATTAACTCCAGGTTATGTGTCGCGTCATCACCCACGTGCTCATGATTAGATGTTTTCACCACTTGATCTAAGACATCATTCTCTGTTATTCCTTCGTTGACTTTGAAGTCGACTGTACGCGCCCTTTTGAGGTAACGTCTCTTCATGGCCTCAATATCGGACAAAATGTTTTCGGATATATCATCCATATCGTCTGTAACTTCATTTGCCTTGGCCTTCTTCCATTGGTCATAATCTTCAAGATCCTGAATTATATCACCCAAACCTACGGATTTCAAAATGTCTTCGTCAATATTTAGTTTACGTAATGCATCTTTGTCCATCTTGAAAGGTTTTTGCCAGCTTGAGTGTTCATGCACATGCCCGGTTTCTTCGTCCCCGTGCATCAACACGCCGTGCAGGTCGTCAGAGTTAGGCCCTATGTTTTCGACCGGACGATCACGTCCTCTATCACTGGAGTGGGACGTGTCGCCATCTTTATGCATCATTTTATGCATCATATCCTCCGGGTCCACTGGACTCTTGACTTCACCGGAATTTGTGTTCCTATCCTTGTTATGGGACAGATCCCCGTCCTTATGCATCATTCGGTGCATCATATCATCCATATCATCTGGT